TTTTTGTCTTTAACTTTCTACACAAATAAGTTTGATTATGATTTTACAGAGAATTTCACGGCGCATCTTTTGAAAAAAACAATTAGCTCTAAAGAACAAAAAGAAAAAAAGTTATAGTCAAAATACTGAGAGGGCCATTTAATCTGACTCACCCGTTAGAAGAATTCGTTTTCTTTTAAAATTTCTTTCAAGTAAAGCATCCCAAATATATCATCTTACTCTATGCTGTTGCATTACTTTTTGCCAGTGTTTTATCGACATTTTATCTTTCGAAGAGGCCTTTTAAAACTTCAGCAGGACGGACATCTATTTTTTGAGGTACAAACTTCTGGAAGATCAAATTGATGTTCAGAGAGATACTATTCCTCGACCATCATGCTAAATAAGACACTTCTTTCGTTGTTCGCTTGAAACTTTGATTAGTTTTGAATTTAGATTATTGTATTTTTTTAAAGCTTTTTCCATATATATATAGTTTTTCTTTCGAATTAATAAAATTTCATAGAAGAATATTTTAACTATTTTTGATGATTATTAATCTTTATTCAATATACGTAATTTTAAAATAAACTTGTGTTTTTTTTTCTGCATGTGAAATCAACTTTTACAAGATTATTTCGTTTTAGATTTCTATATAATGGAAAATACAACTAAAGATGATCCATTTCTTTCACATTTTGAAACACTGATAGATGAAGCACAAATCAATAATAAATCATCTAAAACTAAAATAGATCTATTTTCATCATCACTTGGTTCTTGTCAATTCTCAGCAATTTCATCTGATAAACCACCCATACTACCATGTCCAACATCTACAATTGATTCATTTTCAATAAAAAAATCTCTTTTGTCAAATATTGAAGCATCAGGTAGTCAATTAACACCATTACAATTCGATTTTTTTTCATTAATTCATAATTATTATGATGTTTATTGTCCGAATCGAACTAATGTAAATGATGCTGGTGAACAATTAAGATTTGTTATTTGTTTACATTTAATAAATCATGTATTAAAAACACGTTCACGTATATTATCACATAACGCGAAATTAAAAGAAAATCCTGATCTCGATTATCACGATCAAGGTTTTACAAGACCTAAAGTTCTTATTATTGTACCATTTCGTGAAAGTGTTCGACGTATTATAAATTGTTTTGAAAATCTTTTATTAAATATGGATGATAGTGAAAAAAATGATCAAATACAAATAAGTCATCGAAAAAGATTTAAAGAAGAATATGGTGGTGAAGAAATTGATAATGAAAATAATGATGGCAAATTTCAACGAACATCTAATGAATATAATGAAATATTTGCTGGAAATATTGATGATCATTTTCGATTAGGTAATTGTTATATGTTGTTTCTTTTTTGCGTAACAAATTGAGATATGTAAGATTGAAGAATATAGTTAAATTCCATACGATATTTGATAAAGGTGATTGTAAGATTTTGATCAAAGACTAGGTAGAGATCTCCACCGTGATTATGATCGTGACAAAAGAAGAAGAATTTTTCGAAATAACTTTTCGTAATAACACTAGAAAAATAAGTCGAGTTGAACTTTTTGTTCAGAATTTTTTGCTCTTTAAAAATACCATTTCAGTTTAACCCTTTAAGTCCTGAATTTTTTCTATCCAACCTAATTTGATGAAACCACTAGGAATGATAGAGCTAGGTGTGCTAATGAAGTTCCACTATAGGACAGATTTTGTTAATCCCATATTTTTATCCTAGGGTGGGTGCAAAATTGGGAAAAATTCGAGAGTAGGCTCCAAAGATGTCTTTGCCATTTGGCTCAGGAACAAGCTACAGACCTGGGAGTTTCAGCATTAGATAGAGGACAGTTAATCGAT